ATCTTCTGGAAAATGAAATTACTCTCCTCTTTGACATAAATCCAGTGTTCTTATACAAGTTTCCTGTTGTTAGAAGCAGGGTTTTAGCATGATAGTATGAGTACAGTAAGTGCTCTATCTTTCATACCAGGGATATCAACAGCAAAAATTCAGCTATAGTCACCATTCCCAGGCAAAGATTGTGATGGGCTTTTATCTAAAAACAAACCAAAAACCCATTTAGTTGACACTGCCATGTGAATTCATTAATGAATCAAGAACTGAAGAGTTAGTAAACAAGGGAAAATTTTAGTATGGAATTCTTTGTCCTTTTTGCAGAAGTGTCTCTTCCTCATGCTTGAAACTTACGACCTTTCTTCATTGTTTCTCCTCTTTTCAGTGTTCTTATCCCCTTTGAGGCCATTTCCTGGGTGTCATACCTAGTATCTCCTCTCACTTTCACTAATATGTGTAATTCTTTCATTTAATTTTTCACTATTGTATTTTTCAGTTGAGATTTTTTCCTTCCTATCTCCTTGGCCTTCGTTCCCCCTGTGGCTATTTGCAGTGCTCCCATGTTGTCAGGATAACTACACATTTACAGATGCAAATCTCAGAACCAATACCACCTCTCTCCCCTTTTTTTTTAATTTATTTATTTTATTTATTTATTTATTTATTTTTTGAGATAGAGTCTTGCTCTGTTGCCCAAGCTGGAGTGCAGTGGTGCAGTCTTGGATCAGCAACCTCCTGGGTTCAAGCGATTCTCTTGCCCCAGCCTCCTGAGTAGCTGGGATGATAGGGATGTGCCACAGAACAAATGCTTTTGATTTTCCATTTCCTAAAAGTAAAGAAATGAATTTCTAATGATGATTTCAGGACTGAGACTTTTGGGTCTTTTTTCTTCCCTAAAAGGAGAAACAAAGGAAGGGGCCAAAGCTGTTTTGAGAGCATGTTTTTGCAGTAATTCTGGCTTTACAAATATGTCTGTGTAATCTCAAGCTGGAATTATGGATGACTTTACCTGCCCCATGATCATTGTATAAGAGATTAGTGTCAGCTGGCAGGATATGCTGCTGTGTCAAAATTGTAAACAGATGAATTGTACAAGAAGGATTTTGTCCTCTTTATACTGCTAAAGCATTATTTTTTAATGTGCTGGCTGCATTTCAACTGCTGCATATGAAAAAGGAACCTGCATCTATCTCTGTGATGTTTACAGATTCATGTGTAATTTGTAGAAAGTTCTAAATAAGATGTCTTTGGTTTCCCAAGGTTTGGTTTATTCTTCCTTATTTTTCTGAGCCTTTGCTCTATTCCGGTTTGAGCTCATGCAAAAGCCATGTAATTTTCAAGTGTCTGAAAGTATGTAGGGGTTGTTAATATTTGGCTTCACAGGTTTCTTATGAAAGCTAATGTTATTCATTAGCTGTAATCTTGTTGTTTATAACAAGATGCTGTTATGAAACATCTTAAGAGGTAAATATTTTCCTCAGTAAGGGATTAAGAAGATACCCACAAAAGGTAGACTTCTATTCATAATTTAGAGAAGTCTGAGCAGTTTGCAAAGCTCAGTGAAACTTGGTGTCTCACAAGCAGTCCTTTTACAGACAAGCTGCACACTTATCAGCCCCTCCTCCTGTATTGTCTGTCTACTAAAGTCATCTTTCATTTACATTATGGAATGTTTCTGCATTGATGTACTCTTTATTCCTTGGTTTGTAAATTTATGTAGGAATGTGTCTAAGTAGATAGTTAGGAGGAGAAAAATTTGTGGTGGAAATAATCACTCTTTCCAAAATAAAAATTTTGATACGTTAATACGGTAAAATGAGAAAAACTTATCTAGAGTATATTTAATGTCAAACTAGTGGTGTTTAATAATATGTGCTTACTGATTTTTTTTATTTTTTAATGGCAAAGTAATTGGTATCTTTTATAAAAGCAGCCTAGTCAAAGAATTTCTCTGTGGGTATAATACACTAATAAGAAACATTTTACATTTTTCTACAAAGAAATAAAATGATAATGCTGAAATTGAAATACTGTTCTAGTTGCAAGAGTAGATAATGACAATAGCTTTTTATAAATGTAGTTCAATTTATGGTGTTTGTTTTTTCTTTTGTGTGTGTGTGTGGTTTAAATACAAGCTTACAATTTTTGTCTACATCGGACCTCATTTCGGAGAGGACTTGAAGCAGTTTACAAAAATGCACAACATCAAATTGAAAGCTTACACATAAGTAAAACTCAGATTCAAGGAAAATGTAAATAAAGTGATTTTTAGTTCTGAACGAGGGAAAGTCAGCATTCAGATATACAGTCTGGAGAAGCGATTCTCACCGCAACTGCATACTGGAATCACTCGGGGATCTTTTAAAATGGATATCTGTGTCCTCGCCCTCAGTGATTATGACTTAGTATGGGCTGTGGGCTGGGCATTGGGATTTTAAAAAGCTAAGTGATTATAACTTGCAGCCAAGGTTGAGAACCACTGGTTTCAGTGGAGCCTTCTGTTATTAAAGTGAAATTACAGATTTAATTGTGAACTTCACAGCAGGGAGAACAAAAAGGAAAACTTGATCAGTTTCACAATACACATTGTCTCAAAGATGGGAAGGCTTCTCTGCCTGTGAAGTCTGCAGAAAAATCACTGAAACGTTTTTTGGACAGTTGTGTATGCATGCATCTGTTTCTTGGGTCATTTATATGCATTCTTATATCCTTCTTTATGCAAATGGACTCATACTGTATTTGTTCTTCTGCAACTTGCTTTCCTTTTAAGTTCTGGGATACATATACAGAACGTGTAGGTTTGTTACATGAGTATAAACGTGTCGTGGTTTGCTGCACCAATCAACCCTTCATCTACATTAAGTGTCTCTACTAATTCGGATTATCCCTTCCCTAGCCCCCAACCCTCCCGACAGGCCCCAGTGTGTGATGTTCCCCTCCCTGTTTCCATGTGTTCTCATTGTTCAACTCCCACTTAAGAGTGAGAACATTCAGTATTTGGTTTTCTGTTTCTATGTTAATTTGCTGAGAGTGATGGTTTCCAGCTTCGTCCATGTTCCTGCAAAGGACATGAATTCATCCTTTTTTATGGCTACATAGTATTCCCTGGTGTGTGTGTGCCACATTTTCTTTATCCAGTCTGTCATTGATGGGCAAATGGCTGCCCAGTTTTGGGCTTGAAATCCAGGGCCCTGCTGGTGTAGGCATCTGAGGAAATTTCCTGGTCTGCGGGTTGCAAATATCATGGGAAAAGCATAGGACCAGAATGTGCTCTTCCTCACGGAACCGTCCGTCACTCCTTCCCTTGGCTAGGGGAGGGAGTTCCCCCAACCCTTGCGCTTCCCGAGTGAGGGAACACCCCACCCTGCTTTGGCTCGTCCTCCTTGGGCAGCACACACTCTCTAACCAATCCCAGTGAGATGGGCCAGGTACCTCAGTTGGAAATGCAGAAATCGCTCACCCTCTGCATTGATCTTGCTGGGAGCTGCGGACCGGAGCTGTTCCTAGTCAGCCTTCTCTTTTATTAGCTGTTCCTATTTGACCCACACCTCTTTTACTTGCTTTTTAAATGTCTTTGAGAAGAGTAAAAATATATATATATATATATCTTAGTGTTAGCACATAAACTGAAAATCTTGTCATTTAGAATTTCATACAGTAGATATTTTAGATGATTCACTTTGTTTCTAATGCATATGTTTTTGTAGGTAAGTAACCATGTCAGCTAAGAAAAAGGAAAAAAGTATGCAAACGTCAACCCATTTCCCATTTTAGCTGATCTTGTACCATTACTTAAATATTTTCTTTTCTCAGTTGCTGAGTGAAATACCCTTGCACTCCTGTCTATTTTCTGTTTTGAATGGAGCTGTAATTTATATTGTATTTTAAAAAGGCTTTAAGAAGCATATTTTGTTTATTTTTAATGTATGCTGAAGTTTTAAGGGGAGTAGCAAACCAAAATCTTTTCTTAAATGAGAAACAAAATGAACCAATTTAATATCATTTTAGGTATTATTCTGAAAAAGTAAAAAAAAGTTTTTGTTCCTCATGTAATAGAAAAATAATGTCTATGTTAACCTGATCAAACAGATATAACCAAAATAATCGGTATAGTCTAATTGTGTCTTTTTAGGCTAGACTGGCACTGCCAATAGTACTCTTATGCCATGTGGGGACTTGTAAGCAGACATTTAATAAATGTTTGTTAAATTAGTGAATGAATGTATATATATATATATATATATATGTAAAGTTATATTCATGCCAAATAATAAATAGCATGCTAATCACGAATCTTGGAGTCTATTGTTACCAAATTTTGCTCATTAAAACTTAAAAGGATGCAGGTGAACTTTAACAATATTATCATTATTTCAAATTAAACAAAAATTGATAGACAAATTAAAATTTTCAGAATGTTTTTCTTATTTCCTAAAATGTCACTTGTAGTTGTGTATGTTATTTTGAGAAAAATTTTTTCACATGTTATGAATTAGCTACTTATTAGAAATGACTTCCATTCAATACATTAGTGATCAGGTGTTGGAGGGTGAAGAACTTTATGCCCTTTTTTAATGTGCAGAATATTCTGAATGTGGTATGGTAACTCTTGCACCAAGAAGGAACATAGAAATGTCGTAGTGGGTTTTCCTACTGCTGTTGCCAGGTGGTCTGTTTCCGTATTGTGATAGTGTTGGTAAGGGTTAGAATCCTAGAGATCACTGTGGCCTCTTTTCTCCCCCATCGAGCACTGATTTCATAGTATTTTAATAATTGTCTGTCGTAATGGAACGAAAATGTCTTTATGGTAGAGGCCTTGTCTTCTGTCTTGTACTTGTGTGGCCTCAGTTTTAATCACAGTGACTGTCACTGAGCAATCCTGCAGATATTTGGGGAATGAATAAATGTCCCGTAAAAATAAAAGTTAATAAACATTCAAGTGGTAAGCCATGCATCCATAAAATGTGTGATAAAGATAAATATATGTTCCATTTTTCTCCCCACAGTCTCCAAACGTCCACAACTATCCCGATATGGAAGCCGTTCCCCTGTTGCTAAATAATGTGAAAGGGGAGCCCCCGGAGGACTCGTTGTCAGTAGATCACTTCCAAACACAAACTGAGCCAGTGGACTTGTCAATAAACAAAGCCAGGACGTCCCCTACTGCCGTTTCATCCTCCCCAGTTTCCATGACAGCGTCTGCCTCCTCACCGTCTTCAACTTCAACCTCCTCATCGTCTTCTAGTCGTCTAGCCTCATCCCCAACCGTTATCACATCAGTATCTTCAGCGTCATCTTCGTCAACAGTATTAACTCCAGGGCCCCTTGTTGCCTCTGCATCTGGTGTTGGAGGCCAGCAGTTTTTGCACATTATCCATCCTGTACCGCCTTCAAGTCCCATGAATTTACAATCTAACAAACTGAGTCATGTTCACCGCATCCCCGTGGTGGTACAGTCGGTGCCTGTTGTCTACACAGCTGTAAGGTCACCTGGAAATGTGAACAACACTATTGTCGTGCCGCTTTTGGAGGATGGGAGAGGCCATGGCAAAGGTAAGAGACATAAACAAAGCCTTGATTGATTTCAGCACTAGAGGTGACTTCGTTTTTTGCATTGAACATTTTTGCATCCTATGCAAACCCTACATCTAAAGAAGTTCTGTGTAGAGCACCGCAGAGAGACACTAGCTGTTCGGTTTTCAAGGAGAGCACAGTTTAGTGGGAACTCACCCTATGTTTATGTAGCTATATGCCAATTTTGCTTAGTGTATTTTTATTTACCCATAGGTCACATAAGGTCAGAATTCAGACATCTAAGTTAGCAAAATAATACTTGCTTTTAAATGCCCATCTTTAAGTGCTCAGTTGGAAAGGGCAATCTATGGTTAAACATGATTGCTTATGAGGTATAGATTATAGATTATAAAGTGTACATTTTTTAAGTAAATCAGGATATTTCTTTGTTGAGTTGTTCGGTTGGAATTTATTTAGGCGGTATTAATATAAACTGCTGTGAAGTTGGCAATGCCTGGAATCTAATCATTCACTTTCGAGTAACCTATAAATTAACTTGCCATTAAAATAATTCTAAAGTCAGGTGTTTGACTATAATAGTATCATGTAACTTGTGTTATTAACTTATTATAAGGCTAAGTCATTTTAAGGAACAAGATGACTCAATACAGTATAGTGGAAATATTTCAAGATGCAATATTAATATTCCCTTCTAGGGTCTAGAAGGCAAGAATATACTTTGCCACTTGACTATGTGTAATAATCACTAGTTGTTTAGTTAAATTTGATAGTTATACAGCTGATCATGAAGTTATTTTCTACTTCTAAGTTTTCCGTCCCCAGATTTTACTAGAACGAATTGTAATAGCATCATGCTGTCTTTTCTTTCTTTACTACCTATGAATCTAAAAAACAAGCCACCCCTTGATAGAAATGCAAAATGCCCATAATCAGTGACTCATTCCCTTTTAAAGTAAACACATATGTATGTATTTTTTCTTCAGAGCCTAGAAGTAATGATGGATTAAGATTTACATTGTATTACTTTTTGCTTTGACACTGTATTACTACTGAGGCCTGTAATTAAAATATGATCGATGAGTACAGAAAACACGGCCTCCTCATAAAATGCTAGTAAATATGGTTGTTTTGGTTCTTGTATAAGGTGGGAATAAATACATAGAAGTAACATTTGATTGTGAACTGATAGAAATTTTTGCAGATATGAATTACAAAATCGTGCATTCATCATTAGCAAGGTATTGTTTTATCTGCAGTGAGTTTTTTCACTGCACATGAAATAAGTTTCACCTTCCCAGTGTAACCAAGTTAAAATCTGATGATTCAGAGTATACAGGCATTTCAGACTGCAAACTTGAGATGCAGACACTCCTTGCTTACCTGATAATTTCTTTCTTTTGTTCTCTGTTGGGCCAGGAGCTAGTCTGACCATCCTCTAGTGAAAAGGTGGAGGAAAAAGAGGAATTAGGGAGCCAGACCCCCTTTGATATCGCTGACCCTTCTGATTGAACGGAACCAATTAAATTTGAATAGTAATAACTGCAAGCCAAATCAGATAGCTATTTTCTTTTATAATTTAGAAATAAGATGGTAAATTTTTTAAGAATTAGGAATTAAAATTTAGCAAAACATGCAAACTTGCATATTATTTTATATATGTGTGTATGTGTACACAATAGAACCCAATCTTTGTATAAGATAAAAGTTGCTTTATTATAAGGTTGATAAAGATATTAATGCTGCTCATGACCTTTCATACAATGTTGATTCACTAATGAAAGAAACCAAAGTGATATATTTTTTTTTGTTTGCCATGATCATTTTGTGGGACTTTTATTTTAAAAGTATAATATATAAAGTATATTGCTAAAGTTTAATTTTCTGGAAAAGGAATTATTGCAGCAGAACTTTTAAGACTCATGCTATAATTTGCTCTCTACATGAGTGTATTTGTTTCATGCAGCATTCATTACTCAGGAGTTTTCTCATATCAATAACAAAAATTTAAAGCAGCTGGGCGCGGTGGCTCACGCCTGTAATCCCAGCACTTTGGGAGGCCGAGGCGGGTGGATCATGAGGTTAGGAGATCGAGACCATCCTGGTCAGCATGGTGAAACCCCGTCTCTACTAAAAATACAAAAATTACCTGGGCATGGTGGTGCACGCCTGTAGTCCCACTTACTTGGGAGGCTGAGGCGGGAGAATTGCTTGAAACCAGCAGGCGGAGGTTTCGGTGAGCCAAGATTGTGCCGTTGCACTCCAGCCTGGGTAACAAGAACGAAACTCCATCTCAAAAAAAAAAAAAAAAAAATTTTTAAAGCATAAACCCTGTGGACTGTGCTGTTGTCATTAGGAACATGGGATTTGGGATCAAGGATGTGTGCATTAGAACCCCAGCTCTGTCACTGACAGCTGTGTAAAAGTCATTTATTCCTACTAATTCTTCATTTATATTAGTGATTAAATGGGGATAATGACATCATCTAGCCTAGAAAATTATTGGGAAAATTAAGAACATACAAATGTCTAGTATCAATTAATTATCAATAAATGCTTGAAATTACTTATTATCTCTCCCCAAAAATATCAAAATCAATAATATTTTTAAAAAGTTTTCTCTTTTTGATAAAAACAAATACGGAAGAACAAAAACTTGTTGAATTTTAAAAAGCAAAACTGCCTCAAGACGTTGGTATGGAACTGTTTCTCAAAGTTTTTACTCTGACAAATTATAAGGGATGAGAGTTTGACATGAGAAATTATCTGAGGACATCCCATATTTTCTATTTTTATTAATTTATACTAAGTTTTTATAATCACCATATTCTACAAATGTTGCTATAGCATTTTATAAGTTTTTTTATTGCTTAACTGATTAATTAGGTAATAGTAAAACTGTCTAGAGGAGGAAGCCTGCCTACCTCACAGAATGAATAAAGGAAAGGGCATTTCAGTAACTCCTCAATTCTTTGTTTTGCACATATGCAGCTGGGCAGTGAGCCAGCAATGAAGGCTGAGAATAAAGGGAGCCCCCATTTGCCTTCCTACTTAAGATGTATATTTCTGGTATGGATGAGCAAAGGAAAATACAGTAGGGAAGTTGAATTTTCAAAACACTAATAATAAAAATACAAAATGTAACGCTTAAATACAGATGACTGCACTGGCTAGTTACTTTTAAAGTTGGTATAGCGTATCTGGTCTCTGATGGAGAAATAGATTACCCTACATGTCACATTACATGAAGGACTGTGAAGGCACACATCTGTGTCTAAGCTCACGTGTCCTGTCAAGTGAATCATTTATTCTTTCAGCTGTTTATTATTCATCTATCATTATTAGGCATTTTATTGACACCAAAGATACAGTGTTGGACAAAGCAGATGTTGTTTCTGTCTCATAGTGCTTACAGTGTAATAAGAGCTACTGACACTCCACAAGATAATCATAGAAACAAATAGCTGATAATTGTGGACAGAGGTGGACTAAAAATAGACCAGCCAGGGAGTTGCCCAGTGGAATGGGTTTAATTATAATCGCAAATAGGGAAAGCTGTATTTGACCAAAGTATTTTCATGGAGGATGTCATGTTCTAAGAAGACCTGTACTTACTGTGATGCTCAGGGGATGGGGAGGGTTTAGGGAAGGGTGGGGTGAAACTTCCACCAGGGATACTTGACTAAGGACAAGATGGCATGAAAAGACTTTTTAAAAAACTCCTTCCTGAGAAGTGTGAAAATGACTTCTAGTGAGGCAGAACCTCAGCCTTTCCAAGTATGTAAAGAATAGTGATCTAAAGCAATGGCAGGTTGTCAGCTAGCACAGAACACCCAGACATCTCTAGTGGGCCTTGGATGTAATATGTGATACGAAGAAAAATGGATGATGTTCTAAAAAGTACATTAAACAAGCATAATTTAGAATTGAGCTATGAGCGGGAGGATGTCAGAAAAACGTCCTGAGGACGACGTCTTTCCATATGACACCAAAGGATAAGTAGCAGTTAGCCTCCTACAGTGGTGGTACTGGGAAGTGCAGGGCTCTCTGCAGAGATGAGTTTTTTTTATTGCATTAGGTTGGTGCAGAAGTAATTGCGTTTTTTGGTCAGCAGAATGGCAAAAACTGCAGTTACTCTTGCGCCAACCTATACTATGGGATCTGAGGCATGGTATTTATAAACCGGGCCCTGAAGGGATTATTTGACCTCACAAAAAACTTTCAATACTTCTTGGGTAAGTTTGTGGCACATTACCTGGGAGACGTTCATTAGCTTTTACAGATATTTAGTAGCAGAAAAGCTTTCAGCAAGCTTGTCCAACCCGCAGCTGTGTGCTGCATGCAATCCAGGACTGCCTTGAATGAGGCCCAACACAAATCTGTAAACTTTCTTAAAACATTATGAGACTTTTTGGCAACTTTTTTTTTTAACTCATCAGCTATCATTAGTGGTAGTGTGTTTTAAGTGTGGCCCAAGATAATTTTTCTTCTTCCAGTGTGGCCCAGGGAAGCCAAAGATTGCACACCCCTAGCATAGAGGGTCAAGACAGATCACAGGCAAAGTTGTTCTTAGTTCATTGTTGGCTTTGCCTTGATGGAAGAGCAGGTGTGTTTAGGATTCTCCTTCCTTCCAGTGTGCAGTATGCATTTACTTTATACCAACCACATTTCTAGGAATTAGTGTCCTGGAATGAGTAAGTCCCTACTGTCAGGGACCTTACATTCTAGTCGTAGAGACAATTCATGTCTATCAGATTCTGTAAGTGCTATGAAGAAAAATAAGGCATGGTAAGGAAGATGGAAAGTTAATAGGAGAAGGCACAGTATTAGGTATAATCCAGGAAGGCCTCTCTGAGAAGTAAGCTGTGCCAGGAGTAGCTGGGGGAAGACCTTTGCCCAAAGAAAACCGCAGGTTCAAAGAACTCTGAGGCATGAGTGAGTATGGCCTTTGTGAGGAGGAGCTGCTAGGAGGCTGGTGGAACTAGAGAGGCTTGAGTAGGCAGAAATGAAGAATCTGGTAG